AACGAGCTCTGGCAACGATAGAAACGTTCGGCCACTGCTCTGGATTGCAAGCCAGCAACAAGAAAACGGAAGCCATGTGGATTGGAAGCTATAAAGAACGGAACGACAAACCACTTGACGTACACTGGCCAGATAGACCTATTAAGTGTCTCGGTGTACACTTCTCCTACAACAAGAAAAAATGTGAAGAGCTTGATTTTAATGAAAAACTAACGAAAATGGAAAATCTACTTAAAGTTTGGTCAGGAAGAGACTTAACCTTAATAGGGAGAATACTCATATACAAGTGTCTAGCTGTTTCAAAATTGATTTATGATTGCTCTGTTCTCACAACACCCCCACATTTCGAACGGAAAGTTAACGACATAGGATTAAATTTTGTATGGAACCACAAAACACATAAGGTGAAATTTTCAACTTTAATAGGAGAGAAAGACAAAGGTGGATTAAAAATGATGGATTTTGCTAGTATGGTTAAGGCCTTAAGAGCAAGTTGGGTAAAGAGAATCTGTACGACACAAGCTTTAGAATCCCACTTCCTTCAGTTTGGGGGAGCTTTTCTCTTTAAATGCAACTTTTCAATTAAAACTTTGAATCTTGAAAACATACCTACCTTCTACATAAAGATACTCGAAGCCTGGGAAGAACTGAACTCACATTGCCCTCAAACCATGACCGAAATTAAACAAGAGTTTCTGTGGAACAATCAGTATATTTTACAAGGAAAAAAATCTGTTTTTTGGAACAAAATGTACTTATGCGGAATACGGAAGATAGAAGACATCACTGATGTCGAGGGAAACTTTCTGACCCCAAATGTTATTACGAGGAAAACTGGACTTGAATTAAACCCTGCCGACATATTAAGATATTACGGTCTTTGCGCCTCAATTCCCTCTAGTTGGAAAAGAGCGCTAATGACATACTAACGAGGAAAGCAATGTCCAGTCTTTACTCACCTATAAATGCAAACAATTTTACAAGCTTTTCGTAAATAAAATTGTGCAGCCACCTTCAAGGCAGGATGAAATTATTCGTTGTTTACAAGATGACGATGACATAAGAAAAGTTTACATGCTACCCTAC